TACAAACGACCGGTACACAAGCTGTACCCGTTGCCGGTCGCTATGTAAGGTTTTTAACATAATTTTTGGTCCTTCCGCGTGTGTTTCAGGTCTAATGGCTCTCCGATTGGACTGCTCAGATATTGAGGATCGGGAGGACTCACCCCGCCGCGACAACCGCCGCGTCACCCGCCGCCGTCCACGCAGCACCAAGGCCGCAGACTACTATAGGTTCTGCGAGCCCCTGCCTGAGACCGACGATCCCGAACTGTTTCAAGAACAGTTCGATGATTGGCAACATCCGAGGGAAATTTCCGGTCTTGTACGAACGGAGAATCCTCGTTGATTTTGAAAGATGTCAAACAAGGAAGAAACTTCTACCCTAACTGAATCAAAAGAACCCACTAAAGATGGAAAGAAGCGCCGTGGAAAAGGCGCAGTTGGAAAGACGAAAATCCAGAATCGGCTAAAGTTTGGTGAGCGCCATCGCGCTGAACAGTTTGAAAAGCGCGCGGCTGCAACAGCACTTGCGGACCAGTTCCTTGCTACCTTAAACCAATTAGAATCCCAGAAGACTAAGCCCGCTGCTGAACTGCCAATAACCACCCGAGGTTTCGGCCTTATGGTGGCGAAATGCTACCAAACAGCTACGAATAAACAGCCTGCTCCCAATATGACCGTTTTCGAGATGTACCGAGCAACGCTCGGACAGATGGAAGCTCAGTTACGCTTCTCAAAACACCACCAACTGCCATCCGTGCCTCCTTTCATCGATGCAGCTGATATTTCAATGTATCAGGGCTTTGAGCCAGATCTCCGCACTTACAACAGAAACTTTGCTCCTTTGTGTGCGATGCTGGATTCCTTAGGAACGTTCCAAATTGACGCACACACGTTTAATCCTGTAATTCCAAAATCACAATTACAGATCGTGTTGATAGGTGAAGATACTCTCGAGGTCGACGGTGTCGCTCCCGACCCGTATTTAGTCACATTGTCCAACCTTCGTGACACAGTTGTCTTTTTATCAAACGGCAATACCCCCGTGCAGTATCGGAAATACTTTCATGAACGTAACCCTCTACCAGGAGCGCGATGGACTAATCAGCACCGTTTATTGAATCCCGACCAGATAATACCTCCTGGTTATTCAAATGCTGATCTTTTAAATGACCTTCGCAAGTTACGTGATTATGCGGATACTTTTAAGGATAAAGTGCTCTATGCCCAAGGTGTGGCCCACATTGACGGAAAAGGGTCTGCCGCCCAGCTTGTTTCTGGCACTTGTTATCACCGTAACTTCACAACACCAACTCGATTAGAAGTTACTAGGTATGTCGCCCATCTTGAGGACCATTTCTCTGTACGAAGTCTACAGTCAAACGATTGGTTCATCGGGACGACTGCCCTTTATGGTGAAATACAAGATGAATTTGCTATCTCAGATACTATAGCACTGCCACGTAAAGCTTTTGATTCACGAAGCAACAATGGTGCAGTTGAACGTTTCACAGGTGAATGGGTTACCACAAGTGATGCGTTCTTTAGCAAAGGCGCTTAGAGACTAAAGCGCAGCACCATGCGAAGGACCACGCAACAAACCGCGACCGATTACGGTCAAGAAAATCCTGACGCCGCGTTCTGTGGCTGTTCCGCATCCTGAGGATTTCTTTATTAGCATTCTGATTCTTTCGCTTTCTTATTAGCACGTTCTTCCTTTATTAGCTGTACTGCACGGTAAGCTGCATTTTTCTTTTGTCACTACCGCCTCCTTTGCCACCGCATGTGGAGACCTCGGCCTTGGAGCCCACCGCTGTCCAGAACAACCGCCGCACCGCCGCATAGCTGTCATCTTCCCAAACAAAAGGGTTTTGGGAAGATGATCGGCTGAGCGCCACCACGTTTTAGGTTCGAGGGGATTCAGTTTTCGGAGAGAGAGATGAGACACACCTATATACAGTCCACTCATATTTTTTAGCTCAGCCCTGACGCTCCAATTAATATATGTCAGAATTTCTGCTTAGCACACGAATTTATGTAGCAGATGAATCCAGTTTAGTTGCTGGAGCACTTCTGGCAAATTGCACAACCATTGGTTTGTCTTTTAAAATGTATCCATTTGTTTCTTCCAGAGCTTTCTTAGTTTGTTCCACAGTTTGCAATGTGACAAATGCTTGCCCTTTCATTCTGCCTTCTTGCATTAAACGAACGTCAAACCTGAAATAACAGAATCAGAAAGAAATCAAATTAAACCTTGGTAGCCAGTCATAATTAGAGTAGAAAAGTTGAAACAATTCTTTGGTATACATACCTAACTTTTAAAAGTGCTGGAAACTGAAATTTTGGTGTTACTGTGCCTGTTGGCCCAATCGAATCAGTATTGTCTTAAATTGTTATTGATCTAATGATCCTGTGGGGAGACTTCGACAATGATAGGACGGATAGGGCTTCATTCGCACAACATTGGATTTTTTCCTTTTTTTATATTTTACTCATTTGATAAGATAAAGCTCTAAATACAATGAACACTCAGCCTGAAAGATTGACTTAGCTGACAACAAGTTTAGCAAAATAAAAACTCTGAAGCAAGGTTCCTCATCGCACCAGGTTCCTCTTTGCTGAGAATCATATAAATAAACTTGATTTGTGAATACTTACATTGTGCCTTGCTCTTCATGATATTTGAGAAAGTACCGCCTGTAAATGTGATGTAAATCTGCAGGCGTAACTTTTTTTGCTAAATTTTTAATATACAATCGGCATGATGGAATTCCTGGCGAGTAGTTTTTGAATACCGGTAGATTGGATAGATCTAGAGCAACACAAACAAAGTACATGTAAGAAAAATAAGATGCAATTTTTACCGGACAAATGTAGTCAAAATGATAAGAGAAAAAAATAAATGGAAAGCAATACGAAATATTTGAAGCAAAGAAAAAAAAGTAGGAGCAAATATGGAGCTGAAGTCTCTTTTCCTCATTTTTTTAAAACATCTGAAAAATATGAAAAAATGCTTCTTATACCGGAATACAATGATTCGTTATTTGTATGCAAAAAAGGCAAAAGTTGGTTTCAATTTTTTTTAATAAGGTAGTATTTCTTCATAAATGAAAGTTGCACAATCAAATCAGGTATCTTATTGATAGGTTCACATGGAAATGAAGAGTTCTGATCGATGCTCAAACAGAATCCATAGCATGACCTAATCAATTGGCTGCTTCATTTGACCTCACGATGAGGGCTGTACATAGAAATTGATAAAGCGGATCGGTGAGGACTGCAGGACTGTATGGGACTGCAAAATAACAGCCATGTCTGGTGAAAATAATTAGGAGCTGTCGATTTTTCCCAGAAATCAAGAAAGATTTTAGGATAAACCATTTGATCAATTAATCCAGTGTAGATACCCTAAGAAAAATACTGGATCAAAATCTACTCCGACTCTGCAATGAAGATTTGAATAATTAGAGAGATAGACAGTCCAAAAACTGAATGGTTCATGGAAACTGCCGCTTAAACTGCAGGAGTGTTCATAAGTTCGACATTAGACTTAAAAATAAAAACAGAGACATTTCTTGCAAACTTGGTCGTAGAATTGGTTTAATAAATGAAACTAATAAAAGATTTCAGGACCTTGAGAAAGCTCCACTGCTGGGAAACAAGTTACTTACCCTTTTTAGATAAACGATTTGCAGCAAGTTCTTTGGCAGTTATACAAGGGTAGTCATCTGCAAGTGTCTTTTCCTCATTTTCAGTTCGAGAAGAAACTGGTGGTTCTGCATCTACCTGGCTGGTAACATTGAGAACTCCAAACCCGCCCTCTTCAGTTAAAAGCTCAGTTTCGTTTCTTGCTATTGAGTTCAAATCAGGGGTGGTCAATTTCACTTGGATTGTCTTTTGCCCAGGCTCAAGATTTGATTTCTCAAATACATTTTCTGTCTCCAGCTTCCTCCGCTTGGATGGAGATGTTTTTTCCACTCGCTTTGATTTAAGAACCTTCAAAGGATTTAATTTCATTGCTTTTTTGGGTTTGGATTTGATATCTGGGATAACAACCTTGAGCTGTGTATGTACATCTTCATCACTTTCTATCTCTGATTCTTCATCGTTTGAGTTTTCAGGAACTCCTGGGTTATCTGCAATTATGTTCGTCTCATTGGAAGGTTTTTTAATTTCAAAAAGGTTATCACAGATGATGGGGAAGTCTGGTTCAAATGGAGAAGGAAGGTTCATTTTATTCATCAAATGCAGCACCTTTGAAAAATAATAAAATCAAATTAATGAAAACTGAGTATTACAAAAATTGAGGTCTGCATCTGTAAAAATGCGGTAGAATATGGCACAATTTCAGCCATGTATTTTGAGCTGCTGAGTTCGATGCCAATGACTATGCTATGGAAGACAAACCTCTTCTAATCAAATAATTGCAATTTAAAAGTTTATAAGTCACTTTTCGAACAGATTAGAAATTAGATGTGGAACAGTGATGAAATTTTAAACTTTACTGCTCAATCAATTGAAAAAAAGAAGATATATAAACATAAAAAATTCAAAAAGTTTTCTTGCTGTTTAAGTAACTTCTAGTTTATACATTTCATTCCGTAACACATCACCTAAAATATTGCAACTTTACAGCACTTATTCATAGAATAAAATAATGGTGAAACCTTGAAAACTTCTTAGTGCTGAATATAGCATATCCTTGGAAACTGATATTTACACTTAGAGCAATGAAAAGTCATCATGCCAGAAAAGAAACCTATTCAATTGGTACAGTATACACTTCTGATATTTACCTGTGTGTAAAATTTGGGGACTGCAGCCAATGTCTTTGCTATATTTTCCAGAACCTCAGGGGAGGGCGGAGGATACTGATATCTGAGATGACATGGTGGTGGTACTTTAAAATTCACCCCAGACAACCAGTTATTCATAGAATTTAGAAATCTCTGAACAGATTTTGAAGTCGGTTCTGGTACATGCTTGGACTTTTCCTTTACACCGGTTTCCAGGGAACTTGAAAAATTGAAACAGATTCATTAAATAGTAGGAGAAATCTTTGAACATCTTCAACAGTTCAATACAAGAGTGCAGAAAATACTTGATTTCAAAATTTATCTTTCACTCAATCGTTATTTGAGTTTTCTGCCTTGTCCCCGTAATTGCTTTTGCTTTCCTTCAAATAAAATTCTCAACAAAGTTTTATAAAAAATATTTTTAATTTCATTTTACTTTTTTTCCAGATGTATTTTTCAAAAAAAAATTTATACATAAACCAAACATTTGAAAATGGTGATAATATAACATTCCTGAAACAACGTTATGCTATTTTTGCATCTGATGCAGTCATCTGAATTTTTATAACAACCATATTATTCTAAGTGACAGTTTTGTCGAGGTGACAAGATTATCGAGTCGGGTGGCTTAAAGTGTCAAGCTCATGAAACAATACCTGGTCTTGTTATGAGAACAAACAGGTGTTGTTCCTTGAACATAAGTTCGTCACCTTCTAGGCAAAGTATCACAAGCGCCATGCGACGTTTAAAAATTTCCGCCGCCATTTTATTTTTTTACAGAGAAATTGTTCAACGAAGCTGTCCGAAAATTTCACTGAATTTTCTTTGTGCTGCCGATAAAATTCAGTGAAATCTCCAAACAGATTCAACCAACAATTTCTCAGTAAAGAAATAAAATGGCGGCGGAAATTTTTAAACGTCGCATGGCGCTTGTGATACTTTGCCTGGAAGGTGACGAGTTGTTCAGTGAACTAGGATTTTGGTTTCTGTGCGCAGCCAGACAGATTAAACAGGCTCTTAATGTATCCACTGCAAAATTATTTTTTTCCATGAAGTATGAAATAGAAAAAAATAATATCATGGTTTACATACCATTTTTCTTCATCAACAGGAAAACTAGTTTCAGTCTTGGCAAACTCAGCAGACAGTCTGCTTGAACCGAGTTTTGTTTGGTGTATCTTTTGTAGTACAGCTGCTGCATGATATTTGCTGGGAAATCTGATCACAAATATTCACAAATTAAATACATAAAAACCACCCCTAATTAACTTTTTTAAAAAACATATTTGCTGAACTGGTTGGTGATATTTTTTCAAGAGATTAAAAATGATTAAATTATTTAGAGGAGTTGAAATTCAATAATTGAGGACACCGCACCAAGAACAACCTATAGGCGTATAGGTCGTTATTACGCCAATCTGCTTTTCGGATTTTACGTACCCTGGACTATGCTGTGGTAGCGATAGAATATAGATAGGTAACGTCTCGAGGTCGAAAAACCTTTTTTTTCCTAGGCAAGTCAGGCCTCTGGATCGATGGGTGCAAGAACAACCTATACGCGCGGCCTTATCATTCTCGGTTAGCGGGCATCGGCGCGGCGCGGCGATAGTGATGGCTCGATTTTTTGATCTCATTTTATAAAGATTTGTTTTTATTCCAGAAAAACGAGCTATTGAAATAATTTATTCTCCTCTCAAACTATCCTTTCCTCCAAAAATGTATACTTCGCATTTTGCCACCAAAATGACTGTTGGGCGTAGTACGGGCCTATAAATTTAAGGGCCTATAATGTGCTAGTTACCCCTCTCTATACTCACCATCGATATTCTTTTATTTTGCGTTAATCATGCGTGATTAAAATGATTTATACTGCATATTGCCACCAAAATGACTGTTGGACGTAATAACGACCTATAAACCGCTTTTTTAAATTAACTATATTAGAGTGTAAACCCAAAATGTATCGCAAAATCTACCCGGCATCCTTAAGTAGAAGGGTTAGGTCACCCAAAAACACCAAAACAGGGGACCTGCATAGAAAAGTCCGCGCAGTACATCAAAAACAAAACTTTAAATGCGTTTTTCTTAAAACGCGGTTTCCAGTTATAGGTTGTTCTTGGTGCAATGTCCTCAATTTCTCCAACAAAGGATTTTAATTTCTTCCTTTTGTATGGAATGCACGAGTAATAAAAGTGTGTAGAACAATGCAAGGTCGTCATATATCATAATCTTTAAATTCCTAAAGTTCTCTAACTCACTGGCTT